TATTTTTCGGACCCACTGCCCAATGATTGGCGATAATATCTACAAAATCACCAGCCTTAGCACAGTATTCTGCCCTTTCCTTAATGGTAAGATTTTTCTTTCTTTTATCCGGCATGAAAGCGTCTATCTTCTCTTTACTAAATGAACGTCTATTATTAGTACCGTTAGCAAGGGTAACTTTAACACACCTGCGGGCCATCCAATCATCAGGAAGCAAAGCATCAAGTTCGGGAGCATGTTTGCTTAATTGTTCTGGGGTGGAATCAGCCGACAGATTATGCTTTTCTAAAATCGAAACAAAGTTATTAGTTTTGAAAAAAGGGTATGAAAGCTGTAAATTCTGAACTAATTTGACACTTCGTCAGAATTATTATATAAAATATTGGAAGAAGCCTCATCTCAAAGTACGTATGATCTGATTCCGTAAAACTCGTTATTGTATTCACACTGCTTTTATAACAGATCCGCCTACACAATATTAAATAAGTCTTGAATATCTTTCGCAAGTTGTATAGTATTCACATTAGAACTGGGAGTATCTTTGATTTGTTTTTCCTTCCGGATCACTAATCTCACCTGAAAGTTTCGTGGGAATACCCGGACATGTCTTTCCTGCCGGTTGAGTGGATATCCGCTCTCTCCCCAACTATGGAGTGTCCGAGACAAAAAATACTAACACTGACTAGGAGCATGTGAATAAATAGTGCCCATTATCTTGGGCAAAGGCGCCCGATCATGACTGGGAGATGGCCTTGGTCTTCTAGTTTCTTTGCTTAGAGGATCATTACTCTACTTTTTCTTTCACCTTTGTACATGGGATAGGTGGGGGGTTAATTACACCATAATGTTCTACTGATAAGGCGCGACCAACTTTATGTCTGAGAGCTAATTGACGTAAATGTTGCCTATAAGAATCATTTTGTCCCCCATGTACATGGCAAGCGTGGTCCGCACCTATCTTCCTCAACATGTATGAAGTTATCCTATAATCTGCTAGAAAACGGTTAATCGGGTTAATATCCGTAATGCCATTACCATTTTTTAGTAGAAAGGGGAAACTAACTGGGATCGATTTCTGAATCCAAATCAGTAGCTCTCTAGCTCGATCTGGATTTTTTTCCATTGAGAGGAAAGGGCGGGGTTCGGCATCTGCTTCACCTTTATTTTTGGCGTAACCAGTACAGTACCAGGCGAATCTAGGATCATACCATTCCATGTGAGAGGATGCAGATTCATCACTGATGCAAAGGGAAGCAACTTCAGCTGAGCGCATGCAGAGCATTATCATGATATCTATTAGATTTTGCATAATAGGGGATTCTAAGATATCACACTGATCTAGTCTTTTTTGTACCTTTTCCAAAAGGAAGAATGTGGGACAATCGAAACCATTTTTTTCATTAAATAAACGACGTTGAGCCTGGATTTGATTAGATTCTTTGGTAATGTGGGGGACTTTAATGGCCTCTATTTTGAGAGGATCAGCCTCAAGGGCACGCAATTTTTTTCGTAACAGACTAAGACGGGAACTCCCTGCAACGACATTAGGAGCTGAAATAGCTAAACTATACGCAATTTCGTTTATTTCTTCAGATGAATAGTCGTTCTCGATGATTTGCTGGGCAGTAATATCTATAGAGTTTCTATTCTCATTACCTCTTCCAGAAGCACGAATAGGAATAAGGATCTCGGATTGTTCCTTATTAAGACCTAGTTGTAGGAAACGCGATCTAGCATTGGAACGTGCCTTGCGATCTTTCAAAGATTTGTTAATTTCTTCGGTATATCTTGACAGATCTTCTAAAGGAGTTTCAGAAGAAAGATTATAGTAATTAACGAAATAAGTGGCAACTTTGGACATTTGGAAAGTAGATTATAGGAAAAGTAGATTATAACGAACTAAGAGTATAAGAAAAAATTCAATATAAAATTATTGCCGGCATTTAAGGGGACAGAGTTTACTAACAAAGCATCCTTGCCACCCGGGAGCGCCTTCGGCAAGTGGTGATTCGTCTGGTCGTGCATGAATAATAGATGCATAGGTAGCGCCTATCGCTCTTAATGTCTTAGATGTAATTCCGTAAGGTTTAAAAAATCTGTTGAAGCCGGTAGTAGTACCACTGCGAACGGGAGGGGGATGCAATGTTCCGGCTTTTATTGCATCTTGATTCCAAAGTAGTAATTCTTTAGCACGCTCTGGATCTTTTTCCATAGATAATAGTGGGCGAGGTTCCGGTTCTGATGGTCCCTTTACATAACCAGTACAATACCAAGAATAATATGGCATATACCATGGCGAGGAAGAACCTTTATCCAGATCATAATGTTTAATTTGTAAGGATGGTACTTCTGCTGGTCGCATGCTGAGCATAATAATTACATCAGCGAGATCTTGTAATGTGGGAATAGCACTTGTATCCATATTCCGGAGCCTTTCCAAGCATGGCTAACCATAAAAGAGCAGTTAATAGATCAGAAGTTCGATGAAAATATTAATGCAGAAATCCGGAAATATCTTTCTTTGATGAAGTATACTCCTACGGAAATCGATTTTATTCTCGATAGAGGAGAACAGGAAAAAATAACAGAAAAAATCCCAAGGCGACATTCAAGAATGGAAGATTGGTGTTTAGCGCATTCCACGTCACCTATTATCGAAGGATGTAGCAAGATTCCGCCTGATTATGCTCTAGAAGTATTAACAAACAGGTTGGATGGGTATGATACAGATGTAGAGAAGCCAACATTGCATGCTATTGCGGATATAATGATTATGCTTTGTATGGATGAAAAAGAGTTATATAATCTTAAAATAGTAGATGAGGAATTTCTGGGATATACGAATACAGAGATTAAGAATGAAGCCCCCCCCCCCCCGCAAATATTTTTCGTTAGAGCCAGAATGGGAACGAGCTCAAGAATTATTGGAATGGATACAGAAATCCTTACAAAATAACGATATTAATAAAGAAGATCTATCTGACCACTTATCGCGACAAAATACAAGCATAAGGAATTTACGAATAATAGGGGCAGAACTTGCCATTTTAGCAAACAATTGTTCTAAGGGCCTTACCGCAGAATGAAAAGAGCAGAAGCATTGAGACATGTATATACATTGCATGGAATAGATAGTTATCAAATTTTTACAGATAATTATGTTAAAAAACGTTTGATGGCACAGAAAGATGCCTCATATAAACAGGAGGCAGAGGATCTGGACTCTAAATACTATGATATTGATTACGAGTTCAACGATAGAGCGAAAAATGCATATCAAATGGCTTTAATGATTCTAGCATTAAGGCATCAACCACCTTGGATCGCATAGAGGAGCAATATGGTTAGGAGCACATTCGTCCAGATATTTTTTTTAACCTAATTCGGTCGAGTACTAGAATTTGACCAGTCTCCATGGATGGAGACATATATTATGGCCAACACTATGCGACGTCGTGATGCTAAAAATGCCTTCGAAAAAGATCTATGGAAATTAATGAACAATGCAGTATTCAGAAAAACTATGGAGGATGTCCGACGTCGTACACGGGTAGATCTAGTACGACCAATAGGAGAGGAGCACCGACTGCGCATAATGTTAGCAGATCCGGCACTAGTTGGTCGTAAAATATTTCATGGAAGCAATCTTATAGCAGTACATCGAAAACAGACGAATGTTGTACTAAATAAGCCAATCTATGTCGGAGCTTCGATTTTAGATCTTAGTAAATATTATATGTACGATTTCTGGTATGGACATATTAAGCGCAAGTATGGAGATCGTGCAAAATTATGTTATACCGATACGGATTCACTAATTATCGAAATTAAGACTGAGGACGTCTATGCTGATATGATCGAGGATGCAGACCTCTACGATTTTAGTGATTATCCTGAAAAGCATCAACTTTTAGAAAAACTTCCGCCAGGACAATGGATAGATCTTCCTGATGGAACACGGGAGCTAAAAAATAAGAAAGTGATCGGAAAGTGGAAAGATGAATTTGCAGGAACCCGAGCATTAAGATATGCTGGAAACCGATCAAAGTCTTATGCATTGGAAACTGAAGATTATCGCAAGAATGTACAAAAGGCGAAGGGTCTCAAAAAATCTCTCGTTAAAAAAGAGCTAACCATTGATATTTATGAGCGCTGTATTCTAGAAGGAGTGGAGGATAAGCCTCGGACTGCAAACTTCTTGCGATGTGAACGTTTCGTTCCATATATAATCCGCCAGACAAAAAGAAGTATTAACCCACTTGACTCCAAGAAATGGATATTAAATGACCGGATAACAACATGGGCAATTGGGGATTGTCGAATCCCGGCATATTTATCTGCATTGGAACAATATGGGGCAATTATACCTCAAGAAATATTAGTATTCATTGAAATGTGGTTGGCCAGACATATAGTACCTTCAGTAGAATAATATTAATTATGGAGAATGGTTGGATAAACCCGAAGAATTGCAAGATCTAACAAAACGGATGTTAGAATCAATGTAAGTGAGCGGTTCTTACTGAAATCTGTTTATATACTCTGCGTCTGCCGAAAAATCCATTGACCTGTTAGAGAATAGATGTCAGAATCTGGAGGATATTATTTCCAGTCACATGATTTTCACTGACGGGGAACTCACTTCCCGTCACTCAAATTTCGGTCACATGATTTTCCATGACGGGGAACTCACTTCCCGTCACTCAAATTTCGCAATTTATGGCACATTGAATATGGGTATGTCTGCTGTCTCATTTTTGGGTAAGTCAGGTTGAGGTATATCGGAAAATTCTTCGATATCGCCGGATTCACGGAGCTTGGCTACGGTCTTGGAGCGGTCGAGAATATACTGCCATTCCCTTCTTCCACCACCTGTTCGTGCTTGTTTGCTCTCAATACCAATATCTGAGAATTTCTTCCCAGCAATGTTATTAGAAAATGGCTTTTCGCCATCCTCTCCACACCATTCAAGATATTTCTGATATAATGCTTTCTTACTTAACTCAACTACACTATCCTCAGCGAGCCGGCTCGATATAATATAGTCAATTATAAATCGAATGGGATTAGGTAGCTGGTCTCGCATTATATCTGATTTCATTTTAGTTGCAGGAATTTCTTGTGGTTCAAAATCTGAGAGATCAAGACTAAGAAGATATCTCATAACTACTCCTGGCGCATCAGGGTGGTCAAGAACTTTTCCTAGTCGCTTAAAATATGCTGTATTTCCTCTACATCGTGAAGAGACATCAAAACAGACTATATAAGAATCCCTATATCTATTTTGAGTGGAGCATCCTGATTGCTTGTAATCATATACCCAGCAAAATCTTTTAGTCGTTTAGATTCAAGACCTTTGCGCTCTATAGTCACCATTCCTTCTGTTATAAGAGATTTGAGATGTCCATTAAATCTATGCCAATTCTCGCTAGACATTCCAGTCTCATTCATAACAATAAGCTTTCGAGCTTAGATGGCACTATTAAATCGCCTAAGAATTTTTTCCAAATCTGATGTAGAATAATGGAGATGTTCCCCTAGAACTTTATCACTAATAAAGTCGGTGATAATGTTTTTTCCACACTGCTGTAGTTTAGACTTTAGTACTAAGATTGACCGAGGCTTTTTTTCTGGCTTCTGCACTAAATACACCCACCATTTCCAAAGATATTTGTGAAGCTTTTCATTTTCATCACTAATTATATTCTTCGTATGCCAGAGAATCAGATCCATAATTTCTTTATTAATTTCTGGTGCTGACTTAGCCAAAAATCCTAGGAAAAGGTTGAAGAAATTCGTAACTAGTTGGGGGGCATTTGGTGGATATGGGAGGAAATTATAATCTTCATAAAGTATTAGACCTTTAGTATCTGCTTGGTCTATCAATGATTTTAACTTTATCGATT